GTCTACATTCTTGGGACGCCTAAGGATGAGACCCTGTAAGACTTGAAAATGTGAAAACGATACATACCATGTGTTAGGGATTTCGGTCATGGCATTCACTTCCATTTCATATTGGCCTCCAGATAAAACCTGCAATAGCAAGTAAAGAAACAACAAGATATGTTAATTAGAAACAATTAGAATCTGTTCTTTTCACAGTTTCGTTAAAATGGAAAACTTAAGATGCATTTAAATTTTTATAATAGAAAACATTATAGTAATAAGGTTGAATTATGATTCGAACTGTGAAAAGAATGAGACCTTAGTTCATGTATCAACGATCTATAAAATGTCACACATAGTTTCATGACAATAAACTAAAGGTAAAGTATAAATAGAGATAATTTTTGCCAACTCAAAAACAATTGCACATAGGAAGGGTTACCACAGTAACTGCAGGAGGAACTCTCCTAAGCATTGTGAGTGTGTATTTGGCAAGGGTCTTTGGAGTCGCCTGCTTCTTGTGCTCAGCCCATGATCCTGGGGTCAGCATGCTGGGCTTGAGAATAATTTTTTTAAGGGATAAGGAGGGAAATAATTAGTAAAATGATCAGTAAATTATAGTATATATATTTTTAAAAATAGTAAATTATAATATAATTTGATATTTTAAGTTTTAAATATTATTAAAAATTTAAAAATACCCCTAAACCTATTTTTTCATCTCACTCCTCCCCTCTAAACATTTATTTTTTTAAATAGTAAATTATAACATATTTTTTAAAATAGATAGACTACAGTCAAGTCCACCATGGTCAGCACTGGCGGCCAGCTCCCGCGACCTGTGACCGTTTTTCGGTGACCAGAGACTGTTTTCTGGCGACTGTTTAATGTTGTATTTATGGACAAATATCATATTTACCATTTAATATCGTATTTATTAGTAAATATTATATTTAACCGAAAAGCCAACCACTGACTCCGGCGACCGTTTAACTTTGTATTTACATGTAAATACTGTATTTACCAATAAATATCATATTTAATAGTAAATATCATATTTATCTGAAAATTATACCACTGACTTCGGTGACCATTTAGCATTATGTTTACTGGTAAATACTGTATTTACTAGTAAATATCATATTTATCCAAAAATTCGGGCACCGACTCCGGCGACTGTTTAACAATGTATTTACCAGTAAATACCGTATTCACCAGTAAATACTGTAATTACTAGTAAATCTCATATTTGTCTAAAAATTTAGGCACCGACTCCGGTGACCGTTTAACATTATATTTACTAGTAAACACCATATTTCCTAGTAATACCCTAATTACTAGTAAATATCATATTTATCTAAAAAGTTCAGGCGCTGACTCTGACTTCGTCTAATACTGTATTTACCGATAAATACCGTATTTACTAGCAAATATCATATTTACCCGAAAATCCAACCGTCGACTCCAGTGACCGTTTAATACTGTATTTACCGATAAATACTGTATTTAATAGTATATATCATCTTTATCTGAAAATCTAAATACCGATTTCGACGTTCGTTTAATATTGTATATACCGATAAATACCATGTTTACCATATTTTTTCCAAAATTCGGTGACCGGCTACGGCGACTGGTAAATACCGTATTTAACGATAAATACCGTATTTAACGACGATCGACTCTGGCGATTGGTAAATACCGTAATACTGATAAATACTCTATTTACTCGTAAATATCATATTTACCATATTTTTTTAAAAATCTGGAGACTGGCTTCGACAGCTGGTAAATACCATATTTATCAGTAAATATCATATTTACTACTAAATACCATATTTATCTGAAAATATGGCGATCTGCTCCAGTAAGCGATAAATACATCGTATTTACTGGTAAATACAGTAGTTACTAAACAATTCTATTTTTTTGGGTGTTAATTTAACATAAAAAATATAAAACTAAAAAATGACAAATAAGTTATTTCTTTACAAAAACTTCTTCCAAAATTATGTAATTACAAAATCAACCCCAAAATAAAACCTAAATTAAAAACCTAACCCTAAAATTAGCCCTAAATCTTTTCTTCCCACCAGCCCGAACCTACCGCCCATGCTGCCGACCACACCTCGCAGCCTAGACCATGTCGGCCACACCTCACCGCCTAGACCCTACCGGCCACACCTTGCCGCCTAGACCTTGCCGGCCACACCTCGCCGGCCAAACCCTGCAGCCAAACAAGATGTAAACCCAAAACCTACAAAACCAAACAAAACTCAACAAAACCAAAGAGAATAGCGTGGTTGTAGTGCAGAGCGAACGATTTCCACGCGTAGAACGACGTCGACGCCATCTTCGATGGAGTCATTCCTCGCGACGATTGAGATCTCGACTAGTCAGATTTAGCTCGCGACGTCAGCGTGAAATCCCGTCAGTGCCGGTGACTAGCTTGATGAGGACGAAGAAAGAATGGAAAATGGCGGATCCCGATCTCAAACGGCGGCCGATCTTGGCAAAGATCCCTCCCGGCGTGAGGAGAAAGAACGGTGAGAGAGAGGGTTGGGTAGTGGAGAGAGAGAGGAGAGGAGAGAGAAAATGAAAGATTGTTGTTGTTGTGAAGATTGAGGAAGAAAAAAAAATCTTAGAGAGAAACGACAGAGAGATGTAGAGAGAAACTATTTAAATGAATCTGAGAGAGGGGGAAAAGAAACAAGGAAATCTTAGAAGGTAAATTTGGAAATGAAAATTTTTATTTTAAAAACAAAATGAGAATATGCTATAATTTACTATTATTTAAAAAATATGCTAATTACTTCATAAATGGATATGGTGCCCTTCCTTCAAATATGACACTGTTTTGGGCCAAGTAGAAGAAAACTTCGGCCCAAATCTTCTCAGCAACTATTAATCGGCATCTTGCAACTCTTCTAAGCATAAACCAAGACTTCGTATCGAAAAAAAAGAAGACTTCCTCGGTCTTTCTTTTTTTTTTTTTTTTTTTTCATTTATTAGAAAAATTAATCATATGATTTACACCTGAGAAATAGCTGCATAACGTTTACGTCCCCAAGCAGCTTCCTAACAGCAAGAGCAGAAGGACCTGTTGGAATGCTCAAAACTGTTCTCCTGAATTTGTCAAGAAGAAAAACACTCATGTGTAAGCTTCTTTTCTGGCTTAGAATTGATCTATTTACATAATTGACAATAACAATCAGAACCAAAGTAAACATACAGAATACATTTGACTAACTCACCATGTCGCAAAACGCGCACCTTGCTTGTAGTTTTCAGCAGATCTTGCCACCAATCCGTCCAACCCTTGGCACCAAGATTCATTGTTTGATCCCGGCAGAGGAGCCAAACCCTGAAACCAAAAAGTATGAGTAATGACAATCACAAGAACATTAATAACAACAAAAAGTCCGACCAAAAGTTCTTAGCAAAAAACATTCTCAGGGTCTAAAACAAGCAATGCATCATACCTTGTCAATATTGATTCCGGACGCAATTTTCTCGTCGCGCAGGCAGTCCACAAACTTCTTCCCATCAGTTGTGGATTGGTAGAGTGCTTCCTCGGATAGAACAACAGCAGAAATGCATTCCCCAAATCCAGGAGTGGTCAAGAGCAATTGTCTATAATCTTGTCTATTTATCTCTGTATTGTCCAACCAAATTGATGACAATCTCTTTCCACACATGTCGTTCGAGTCGTCAATCGCCAAAATGCTACGAGCAGGAGATGCAATAGATTTCTGCACAAACTTGAAGAAGAATAAAGAATGTCATTGTTGATGTCATTTTTCTGTTTTCAATATATTATGGTTCTTTTTTTATTGCCGTCATATTTTTGTTAATCCTGTAAATCAAACACAAATTCTTTGTTTTTAAAACAAGTAGAGTTCATATTTAATTTGTTCATCCAAACAATTAACAAGGTAGCAAAAACATGTGCAGCTATAAAGAAAGTTTATAAATTCTTACACACACACACACACACACAAAAAGCTTACAGATTGGACACAAATATTTAAATCTTATCATATATGCTTCAAGATCTTAATTTAAACCAACCCAGAGTTAAAAAAACTCTCAGGCTCACAAGACAACAAGATTCATAATTTTTTTTTTGAAAAAAAAAATCAATCACATAAAGTTAGATAGCTAATGAATAAAACAACAACCAGATCAACATAAAAATCAATCAACGTAACAAATTCATTGTTCAATCATAGTTTCAAATTCATTGTTCAATTCGTTGTCCAAGTCAAAAGCTAAAAATGTTAGGGACCTCACGGCTGTTTTGATTAGTTCTTTGGAGTAAGCGCCGGCGCGGACCGGGGAGACAGAGACTCGGCGAGCGGACAATCAGCGGCACTGAGAGAAGGACTGGTGGTCTCCGATCCACTGAGAAGCGGAGAGCTCTACAAACGTCGCAGAGGCCATGAGTGAACGACTTGTTTGGAATTCGTAAAGTTCTTATACAAACATGAGTTGAAATATTGTATTAAATGAATAAAAATACAATCAAAGAGTGTAAATATCAACGTGATATGCTCTTTTCCTTTCTTGTAAGAACTTGCTTTATTTATTTCTCATTATGATGAGAATTGCCAACATAACCAGTATTTGCTCGATCATTTATCCCCGAATTATGGACTTCGTCAAGTAGTGAGCTATTTTTGGCCAATATTAGTGGGATCAATTTGCTTGGTGGTAATTGTCTGATTTGAGGCCTTGGTTGGTCAACGCACGATTGTGATTGCCTAATGAGTTACATTCCTTATAAATGAGAACAATGAGGAAGAGGATGACAGAAAAGGTAGCTAGAGAGAAAAGGAGGAAATTTCTGGGAGAAAAAAAAAAGCATTGATAAATATATCGAAGTCTGGTCAAAGAAGAGTTGAAACGTTTGGAGACACGCAATGTTAAGCAGCTTGGTAAAACAAAACAACAACAACAAGGTTTGGTATCTTGTTCAACTCAATCTCACTGAAATATCTTTTTGCAAACCCAACAATATATATATATATATATATATTTTTTTTTTTTGTATTGACAGATTATAATTTAAATAACTAGGCCTCCATTAACCCTGACAATCTGGCCATTGATCCACTCCCCAGCATCAGTAGCCAAGAACCCAACAAGTTGAGCCACATCTTTGGGCTGCCCAAGCCTCCCAAGAGGTGAAGCCTCCGCAAACTTATTGATCATCTCCTCGCTTTTACCGGCATAGAAGAGCTCCGTCGCCACCGGTCCCGGCGCCACGCAATTCGCTGTGATCCAGCTCCCCTTGAGCTCCTTGGCCAGCACCTTGGTCATCGCCTCCACTGCGGCCTTCGACGCCGTGTAGGCCCCATATCCCGGCAGCAAGAACCCCACCAACGATGTGGTTATCATGATTATCCTGCCCCCGCCCCCGTGCGCAATCCGCTTGGCGGCTTCCTTGGCGATCAAGAAAGCGCCTTTGGTGTTGACGTTGAATGTGGAATCCCAATCCTCTTCGGTGGTGTTGACCAAAGATGGATACTTGGGATCCGAAATCCCCGCGCAGTTGACCAGAATGTTGACTTGTGCTCCGAATTCTTGCTCGGCACGGTCGAAGAGGAGCTTGACCTGATCTGGGTCTGCCACGTTTGCCTGAACTGTGACGGCGTTGGTGTTGAGCTCGGCAGCTAGGTGGTCTGCTTGGACGGAGCTTGAGGCGTAGTTGATGACGACTTTGGCGCCGAGGGAGTGAAGGTGGACGGCAACTTCGCGGCCGATTCCGCGGGAGGCACCTGTTATTATGGCGACCCTGCCGTCGAGTGTAGTTGTTGGTGATGCCATGAAATTTGAGATCTCGAAGAGAGATAAGTTTGAAAAGTAAATATTAGAAACAAGGACAGAGTAGAGGTGGCGGTTGCTATATATACGTGTGTATATTTATAATAAGGTGGCAGATACGTCATTGCATACCTAAGATTAAGGTGGCCGATATGCATTATATTATATTTATATATATATATATATATAAATTGCCTTCAATCCGTAGTATATATATTTTTTAATATATATATATTTAAAAGTGACACTTAAAATATGATATTTCTTTTTTTATAATAAAATATATAATATATATATATTTTAAAATAAAATATAAAAAAATATACATATTTTAAAAAAAATATACAAATACCACTTCAGTCAGTAACTGAAAACTTAGCCTATATAGCACTAAATTCAGTAATTAATGTTCTAGCAAAAAACAAAAAATCATTAATTAATGATTTACTTAATATAAAACTAAATTTCAACGGCATACACTATGGAGCTATGGTCAAAACGAAGACGTGGCAGCGTGTGTTCAACTTGAACGAAGACAAGAGGAGGGGTTGAATCATCCATTTCCCTTTTTTTTTTTTTTTTTTTTTTGGTAAAACGACTTCATTAAAAGAGCCAAAAAAGGCAAAAGGAGGAAATAAAAGGCGGGGGAGGGGTTAAGACCTTAGACAGGCGACCACTCCATTGAGTTCCAAAAAAAAACGGGGGGGGATATCTCCCTCTAGATTAGAAACAAGGGCCCATTTAGCTAGATGTTGGGCAAGAAAGTTACAAAGGCAGCAGAGACAAGGCATCAGAGATGATATTAGAAATCTCACAACCGCATTCTTTTCCAATGGAAGAGATAGCCTTAACAACCAGCTCCGAATCACCTTCAAAAATCGAGAAGTTAAACGCCTTGAGGATGGCCGTCTTGATAGCTAAGAGGGCCGCCATGGCTTCTGCGTCAAGAGGTGAGGCGATGAGGGCAGTTGCCATCCACCTTCACCAATGTGACGGCGTGAAGTCCTTGATTTCAGTATTCAATCATTGAGGAAGATTGAAAGAATTACATACACCGGAACCTCTCGGATCGCATCACCACTCAAGTTAAGGCTAAGTAAGCCGTATTCTAGTAAGTACAACCTCACCCATAACTACAATGTGATTAAATTTTCATGAATTGACTTGTGATTTATGAGATTTCAAATATTTTTTATAAGAATTTTCATACTATTTTATTTAAGCTTAAATGCTTTTTATTTCATGTTTACAAGTACAAGTTATTACATGCTTACACATTTATGAGATTCATGATGTTACATGTTATGAGAATCTATATTATACTCTCACGAAAATCAAGACAAGTAAAAAAGATGTTTTGTCACATTAAATGATGAGGCAACGAACCCCTTCATGTTTCACGGTCTTAGGGCAACCCGTCGATCTAGACGACAATTTCATGTTCATGTTTACCTTGGTAAGTATGGAACTTGCAATCCCACTCTTATCGTAGGTTGCGCGCATGTATGTTTGCCTCGGGCCCAAACAAGAAAATAAATAGAAAAGTATTTTTCAAAAAAAAAAAAAAAAGTAATTCATGATTTGTTAAATGTTAAATATTTTCATGTGAGGAAAATGTTGTGCTTACTGAGCTCTCGCCCAAGTTTTTAAGTTTCATGTTGCACATAAAGATAAAGGAATCGCATGAAGTGGATGAAGCTAGACCGGCGTGTGACGGGCGAGAACGTGGGAGATGGGATACCACACACAAAACTTTATTACCGCTTAAGTTTTAATATTTAATAGAATTATGATTTCGTGATTTTTAATTATTATGTTTACGAATGATGAGACATAGAGTGCGTTTAGAACTCGTTTCAAAATTATATTATTTTTTATATAAAAATAGAAATGATAACGTTTACAATTTTAGGCAAAAATTATTTTTGAAAATGTGTTTGGTAATTTTTTCAAGAGATTGTTTTCAGTATAAAAAAAAATTCATTAATGTCTCTTTCTCTACTTGAGAAAGGAGAAAATAGAAACAAAAAATGAAAAATGACTAATAGTCATTTTTCATTTCTCTCTCATTTTACACTAAACTAAAAAATCATTTTTATTTCTGTTTTTTATCTTTAATTGTGTCAAACGCCGTTTCTCTCCCGTTTTCATTTTTTCTTTCTCAAAAAATGTGAAAAACAAAAATGAAAATAACTCCAAACACAGCCATAAGGTTTTATGTTTTGTTAAGAATTTTATGGGACGTTTGGTTCATGGATTCAGAACCATGATTCATGATTCTGATTTTTTAAATTTAAATTTTTTTGTGAGAGAAAAACATTGTAAAGAACTAAAAATCATGATTCAAAATTAGGGACAAACCCTTAAAACAAACATTCCATTAGTGTTTAACGTTTTAAGATATGTTTACTATTAAGAGAAGTTTCAAGTTTTATTAGACAAAAAAAAAAAAGAAGTTTACCGTATTTCACAAGTAAAGTTTTATTATTTAATTAATCGTGTGTTACTTCTTTAAAAAGTGTTTTCTTTAAAGTTATGTTTTAATGAATATTTTACGAACAACTGTAATGGTCCGTAAGGGTTTGTGTTGAAACTTTGGGCGGCGGGCATGCCCGACGCTCGAAAATTTTTGGGCATGACGGGCAGGCACCATTCGCCGCCCGTCCGACCATTTTTCCGGGCTCGGGCTCGGATAGCCCGAGAAAAAACCATTCCCGGCAGCCTGCTGCCGGTGGAGAAGTCAAGATCGCCGTCCACCGGTTTTTTTTTTGAATTTTCCCGCGTAACCCGAATTTTTTTGACCGTTAGCCCGAATTTTGAACCCAACGGCTCTTTTTTGCCCGACCCGACCGCCGCCCAAATATTGAACCCCAACGGCTATTTTTATTACCGTTGTTCGAATTTGTCCGAACCCGACCTGACAGTCCGAATTTGTGTTACCGTTGGAACCAAATTTTTGAGGGGAAATTTTTTTTTTTTTCAATTCAAAAAATTTCCTATAAATACCCCCCCTCACCCAAAACTCTCATCCTCTCTTAATTTCTCTCAATCTCTCTTAATCTCTCTCAAATCTCTCTTAATCTCGCTTAAATCTCTCTCGATCTCTCTTAATCTCTCTTAAAACACTCTCAATCTCTCTTATTTTTCATAATGGCTTCTTCTAATTATGGTGGTGATATTCCCATTGATGTCTAATTCAACATTGAAGAAGGGCAATTTCTTAATATTTTTCAAACGCAGGAAGCGCAAACTACAGAAAGAGTTGCTGAGGAAACTGCAAATCCGAGCCCCGGTGGACGTACTAGAGGTCGTGGACGTAATGGTGGTGGGCGTTCAGGAGAGGCAAGTGGAAGTGCTAGTGCAAGTGTTGTAAGTTCTAAGAAGAAATGCAAGCGCACCTCAACAGTTTGGGAGCACTTCAACACATTCGAGGAGGTCGACAATAACGGTAACATTAAATACATAGCTCTATGTAAATATTGTGGTGATAAATTACAATGTAACATTATTCACGGCACTACACACTTGAGAAGACAATTTGAAAAGTGTCTTCAAAAGCAAGGAGGTGGACCCGATCTCCGCCAAACACAATTATCGTTTGACTGCCAAACCGGTGGTCTAACCACTTGGAAATACGATCCGCAAGTCGATCGTATGGAAATGACAAGATTAGTAGCCACATTAGATCAACCACTTAGTTTTACCGAACAAAGGAATTGGCAGCGTTACATTAAAATTGTACATAATCCTAATGCACAATTTTTTTCAAGAACTACTCTTAGGAGAGATGCATTAAAATTATATAAACAAGAAAAAGAAGCATTAATCAACCTTTTACACTCTACTAGTGGTTGTATTGCGTTAACAGCAGATATTTGATCCGCCGTTGCCAACAAAGATATTTAGCTGTAACCGGACATTATTATAAATGTTTTGATTTAGATAAGAGAATATTAGGTTTTAAATGTGTTATAGGATCACATACCGCCAATTTAATATATAACACAATTTTATCTGTCATTGATGAATATAGTTTAAGGGATAGAGTAATGGTCATAACATTAGATAATGCTACAGTAAATACTAAAGCAATAGAACTTTTTAAAGTTGATTTAAGTTTATTCGGTAATAATGATATATTTTACCAACGTTGTACATGTCATATAATTAATTTAATAGTAAAATCCGGTTTAAAATCAATGTCAAGTCATATTAAAAGAATTTGAGATAACATTGCTTGGATTCAAGGTAGTAATCAAAGAATACAAGATTAATTTAGGTTTCTACAAGCATGTAATCAAAATCTTAGAGCATTAGCCTTAGATATGCCCATAAGATAGAACTCTACTTATATAATGCTTGAACAATGCATCCTCAATAAAGATGTTATAACAAACTATGTTAGTGTAAAATTAGGATCATGATTTATAGATGAAACTGATTGGCAAATTGCCAAACTCTTGTTTAACTTTTTAGGTAGATTTCACGAAGTTACTTTAAAGCTTAGTGGAACTTATTACCCAACGACACCATTAACGTTAAGAAGACTTTTAAGAATGTCTATTTTATTTAGTGAATTTAGGACACACGAGGTTTTAGGAGTTCTTATCGCTTCTATAAAAAGAAGTTTAAAAAATATTGGTCTAAATTACCAATGTTGTATGGTTTCGGTGTTATTTTCGACCCTAGATTAAAATTAAATGGTTTAGAAAGTGGATTAGATAACTTATGTGACTTTTTTGCTATCGACACTACTGACCAATTTTCTATTATAAAGGAAAAAATATTTTCTCTCTATAGCTCTTATGAAACTAGGTTTAGAAACACACCTTGTCTAGAACAACCGCAACAACGAGACGACAATCCGCATTCATTCTTGAATGTTTTCGGATTGTCTAAGAAGAAGAAGAAGACAATGACGACGGCTCAAGGTTTAAGAACTTTTAAGAATGACTATATTATTTAGTGAATTTAGGACACACGAGGTTTTAAGAGTTCATATCGCTTCTATGGAAAAGAAGTTAAAAAGATATTGGTCTAAATTACCA